AGAGCAAATAAACAGATTTTCCTGGATTTATCCAGTTTTTTCCCATTTTCCATATGAAAAAAAATTCCTGCATGCAGATACCTCCAGAATACCGGAAAACACATAAAAAAACAATATAATTTAAAATAAACAAAAACAAAAAAAGAAAATTTTTCGAAAATTTGACCGTGCCTGGGATTCGAACCCAGGACCACTCCCTCCTGCAGCGAACTTGCTTGTCTGGTGGACTACCTTCCAGTCCACGGTGATACGTGAAGCCTACCACAGTTTCGCTTCAAAAGCTCTCCTCTCATCTTCGCAATATACCTTTAGGGGCCCACTGTGACCCCCCTAATTGGCCTATAAAAATTCTCTTCAGCCTTGTTTGGACCATAGACCCCTACCTAGGGTCCGAGTTTGAAAATTATACCTTGATATTAAAGGGAGCTAGGTTTCCTCTCTACGTAACACAATTGCCGCCAAAGTGTCCTCCACATAGAAAACTTTCTCCCAATACTTGATCCATGCGTTTCCTTGTCTTCTGGAATGGATTCAAAATTACAAAACTACGGACTTGAACATTAGTAATCGCCAACCCTACATTGTGTAAAAGTGTGAACGTGAACATTAATTATATTCTTATTACGTATTTGTCCCGCAGTGGACTGATCGTTAAGACACGGTTCCCAGCAGATCACCGAAGTCAAGCATCACTGGCTGCGGTCAGTGTGCGGGAGGGTGACCACTTGGATCAGTCTGCGTAGGGACCGAGGGTGTGCGGTATTGGTCCTCGTTAAACTGTGCTACCGTAAAGTGCTCGACTTCGCGCGCAGGTCGTCGGGCTACCGAAGCGGGGGTGCCATCCCCTCCGCAGAGGATCAAAATTGTGATGGCATGTCTTCGGATCATCCTCCGGGATGTTTCCCAGACCGTCGCCAATAGCCCATTGTGCAGCTCTAGTGCGACGTAAATGAACAAATCAAATCTTATTACGTATTTAGTATTCCATGTTTTAGAATAATGGCGTGCGTGAATTTTAATAAAAGTAAGCATTAAACGAACTGCGTTTTATTTATATATTTTTTTTTTGAAAAGTTTTTTTTTTACAATTGGATCGTCGGTTTAATGAGGGAAATAAAATCGAACCGAATGCAAGTAGGGAGCATTCACACTGCATGTGATTTCCATTGCGTGCGAAAAATTCGTATATTCATGAAAGAACTATTTGCGCATGTGCAAATTACGTTGACATGCGATCGCATATCCAATTTGATTATAGCAAGAATGATCCTTAAGAATAATGCTTTTGTCTTACTGAAAGGTACATACTTCTACTTCAATTTCTTTATTTTATTTTATTTGTATTGTTGTCGCGCGATAAATTTAAATGTACTCAATCCAACGAATTTAATTTTCAGGTAGTACCAATTATGTATTATAGTCTACCATTCATAATTTATTTTCTTTATGGAGGAAGATTTTTGTATCGTAATCTGTGATAGAATAATTGCAGAGTCTCGGTGAACCGCAAGAAACCTTAAAGAAAAACATAGGATTGACCAACTTGTAAAGTGTAACTGGCAAACCTTTCGCTTCCTTTTTTTTAAAGCAAAATAAAAAAGATAAAAATTGTTTTTAAAACCATTTAGCGACAGATCACGATATGGAAATATACGCTATTTAAGTGTGGGCTTCAGAAATATACAACTCATAAATAAATAACTCTTTCTTTACAAATGTATATAAATGTTAGAAAGTGAAATGTTTATAAAAAAGTGAAATATTTAAAAAGAAATTAAGAATTTTATTTTAACATTTTAGGTCTGTCTATCTACTATGGATAAAGAATCATCAAAATCGTTATTTTCTCTGCAGCGCTGTCCTAATATATATCGAATTAACTTAGAGTCCTCTAGTTTAAATGAAGTTCTTTCAGTTTTCGTGGACGAAATATTACTGGGTTGTTGTTCATCAGCAGCAGAATCTGTTCTTGTTGAATACCTCACTAGCATAGTGGAGCCAATCGGATGGAAAGCTGTCTGGAGGTCAACTAGAAAATCTTCTATTGTTGATTCAGAGCTAGATTTCATAGTGGAAGTAATACTTATTTTGGCTTTTTTATTTTAAAATGTGAATTTTTATTGTAAATATAAATTTTCCTGGTAGCATTTCATTGCTTTGTTGATTCAAAGCTAGATTTCATAATGGAAGTAATACTTGTATTGGCTTTTTTATTTTAAAATATGAATTTTTATAGTCGATATAAATTTTCCAGGTAGCACATTGCATTGTTTTGAATATTTTGACCCTTTGCCTGCTGCAGGCGTATATTAAAGCTTTACTAAGCCGTTAACTGCCTCTGGTATACATATAAGCCTTTCCGTTGTATGCAGCCAAAGTGTCACTATCAGTAAAACTACTGACACTGCTTTGGAGTGCAATAGAATGACCCTGAGAGCCAGGGTTGGCAAGATTTTGTCGCAGGTGGAAAAAACCATGGTAAATACCGGTAAAAACCGTCCTGGCAAAAACAGGTTTTTGCCAAGCAAATTGGCAAAAACCTATATTTTCCAAGATGTGAGGACAAAAACACATTTTTGATACAAAATCATTCCTAAAATTGAAATACAGTGATCTCTCACTTATGCACCACCTCTTTTATTCACCTTTTTCATTTATACGACGATTTTTATAGGTCCCAGTACATTAGATAGGAAAATAATGATAAACATCCTTCGTTTATGTGTCGCTCTGAAAATAAATTTTTCAATTATGCGCCGAAATTTTAGGCTAGCATTTTAATTTTTTAATCCTTTAAATATTTTTTCTTTAAAAAAAATGTTTTAAATTAAAAATGAAGCAAATGAGCAATCCTTGTTACAGATAAAGAGAAATATTGTTAGATCCTATTGAATTTGCTTCCCCCTGTAACCTTTTCATTTTTGCTGTTTCTGGAAAGACATTCTTTCTAAAATTTTGAATAGGGTGTCTTATCTTTTACACCAACAACAATGAAAGCCCATTCATCTTTCCCAAAATGACCGTTCCTCTTGTCCAGAGGTTAGTTTTACTTCCATGCTGTTTACTAGAAAAAGAAGACACCTGGAATACAAAAGATGAAAGAGACCGCGATCACTTACTTGCAGTCAGATGGACATAAAAGGAGGTGATCTGTTTAGTGAGGGAAATACTTGAACAACTTATTGTGCAGCATATTATGACGTCAAGTACTACTTTTCCTAGAAATTTATCATGTGATGTTTCACCCCCTCCCATAAAACTCAAATTTTTTGTGAAGAACTGTTCATTTATATCTAACTGAAACTTGTGAATGATGAGAATGTGGTGGATGATACTGACGAGATGATAAAGTTCCTCCAAATCACACAGCAGCATTGAAAGCTTTAGACACTATTCCTGACTATTCACAATTTAATTTTGCTTCTGAAACTCCCTCTTATCCCATCAGGGTTTAAGCTGAGTCTAAAAATTCATTAGCAAAAAAGCTAAAATCTGAAAAAAAGTTTTAGCAAAATGCTAAAATGCCATTAGGCTTATAAAATTACTTTATATCAAACAAGTACTGTAAGTTATCTGACAAAGAATAGCTTAATGTACAAGAATATCAAAAAGAATACCTATAACAAAAATCATTNATCACGTTTTTTTCGTGAACGCTAGCGTCATGGTTCTTCTTGCGAAAGATATTTAGATTTTTTCTTCTTGTTTGATCAAGTTTTTTTCATGGATGTTAGCGTCATGGTTTTTCGTGGAAGCTTTTTTTTTTAAATGGAATTTAGTAAAATCCTTTAGCGAAAATGCTTTGTTGAATTTTAGCATTGAGGGGTCTTTTCGCATTTTGCGAAAAAAGCTACCGTAACGGAAACCCTGTATCCCATTTATATGAACTGGAAAAAACTGCTTTTGAATAACGTCGGCAAAAACAAATACAAACATGCATTAAGATTATTTTGTAAGAAAATAAATTGTCTTAAGGTATGTTAAATTTTTTCTTTGTATAATTATAGTAAATACCAAAACAGTATAAATATTAACATTTAATCTTTAGAAACATATTTATTCATATTGTCACTGCAATTTACGTTGCGTTTTAGAATTTTTAAGTTTTTCACTTATGCGCTTTTTTCTCTTGGCCCCTTACACCGGTGCATAAGTGAGAGTTCACTGTATATACTATGAATATAAATAATTACAAAAAAATTAACAAAATTACTATTCCATAATTAAATGATAATGTAATAATATATCATTTTAGTAGTTTAAAACATTATTGATTGGAAAATTTGTGATTATTCTCTTTTTTCCAGTGAAATGAGCTTATTTTAAACTAATATAACCATAATTTAAAGCATAAAATATCTATCAACATGTGTAGTTAATTATTGTACAAATAATAATTTTTTATAATAAATAATAGTATTATACAAATAATAATATTTATTTGTAAAAAAACATTTATTTTAGGATTCTAAAATGAAAAGAGATCAAAAACTTTCAATCTTTTAAAAATTATTACCCTTAGGTATATTAATTATTAATATGTTAAAAATAATTTTTTCATGTAATGTATCAAAATTATTATTCCTTATGATTGATTTAAATTTGTTTCAAGTATTTTGTAATAATATTTATTCAGCAATTTAGATAATTTGGTTTTTCCGGTTTTTGCCACTGTCCTGGCAAAAAACCCTTTTTGCCGGCAAATACTCCAACCCTACTGAGAGCAGAGTTGGAAAGGTTTAGGACCGAATGTATTAATCCAGGGTTTAAACTGTCCAAATCCTATTCACTCAAATTATGTCATAATTTTAAAAAAAATATTGTGAAAAATAAAGTTACTTTTTGAACAAGAAACAAAGTGAAGACAAGTTTTGGTTTTTATTAAAAAAGTTTATTATTCAGGGGTCTGTCTAGGTTTTTCTGTGAGGTACTTATTTTGTGAAAATTTAGACATAATTTGTAAAAATTACGTTAAAAAATTAACACAAAAATGTGATAAAAATATGGATTTTTCATTTCTGACGGGATGCAAAAATAAAATTTTAAGAAGAAATATTTTGTGAAACTAACGTTTTTCCTACAGTTGAATTTGTGAAGGTACCGCTAAACGGTAGTAAATTTGGCCTGGACAGACCCCTGTTATTATATTTAATATTGCATTCATTATCCTTAACCAAAAGCATAATTTATCAGTATTAAGAGCATATTTAAGAGATAAGGTATTCACTTTTGTTATTCAGTGAATTTTGGAACTTCAAAAGTTATAAATCTTTTCATATTATATTATTTTTCTTTAATAAGTTAAAGCAAATTGTATAAAAATTATAAAATATTTATTGATATATGTAATTATTATGTGCACAATGGTTACACATATAGAATTTTTATCAATATTCAAGGTTTTGGACACTTTAAGACAGTCAAACCCAAATGACCTGTCCGAAACCCCAACCCTGCCTGAGAATGTTTTCAGACAAGAAGCTCATAGAAAGTTGATCATAGTTGTGCAGTTATTGATTGTGTTTCTTTCAAGTAGTTCACACTTTTTTGTTATTATTTGGCTTCTGTATGATAATTTTTTTTTTTTTTTTGTAAATATGACTGAGAGTGAATTTAAGCTATCATTTTCCTTCTTTTTGAAATTTATAAATTATTTGGGATGAAGACAACTCTGATTGCGACTTGCAATTTTTTTTTTCTTTGTAAAAGTAAACAGTTTCTAGATTGAAAAGCGTGCCTCTTCTTTTTCTGCAATAGGCATTAAAATTATGAGTGCTTCTGTGAAAACCGGTGGTACTGGGAACTGAGAGTATAAGAGCTCATTTATATTATAAAGTATAAGTTTATAATACTATTTTCAAGATTTTTAACTCTAAACAGCTACCAAGGGGTAAAATGACCAGAGTTGACATTGCATTTGGGTAAAATAGTGCTATCAAGAGTTAAAAAGTGTTCATTTTTTTTCTTCTTAAAGATAGTCAGACTATAGAAATATTCATATTTTTCGCATATTTCTATTCAGTTCTTGCTCTTGTAATCTAAAAATCTTATAAAATTTCTTGGAAAGTTTTCTTTTATTCCTTATAATTATGAACCCTGTATGATTTTGATTTTTTTTAAATATCTCAATTTTATTAGAAGATGTTTTGTAATTTTATTTATTATTATTTAATATTGTGGTCCATTTATAAATGACTTAATAATTTTCAAATGATTGTGAAATTGCGGCAGCAAGTGAGCTTTAAATTTGAATAATTTTTCGATCAATCTTATAGACATTTCCATTTAATTTTTAATTAGTACAATGTTCTTACAATGTGCAAATTTCGGATTTGAGTAGACTATTTGTTTAGTAACAATTCATTTGAAAAACTCTTATTTACTTGACGTTTGTATTCTGTGATAAAAATTCAGAGGATTGATCATTATCAAAACTTTAATAACAACCTTTTTGTATTATTCGAAAATCAATTTATGAATACCAATATTAAAATGCGTAGAAAATTACAAAGTGGTTTATTTTAATCACTGCATTTTCATTTTTTAAAAATAAAAAGTTTTAGTTGTATTTAACTAAGAAGAAATTGTATTTCTTCTAACCGGTATTAATAGTTTTGAAATATTAGTTAAATATTTTTTAGAGTTTATTTGAAAGATTTCATATGTATTATGTTGGTTATAAAATAAATAGTTAAATTATTATTAATTTTGTGTTTAGGTTGTGAATGTGAGTTTACAAAAGTTAGAGGCTGATGTGCTTGTGAAATCAGTAATCGGAGCTGACCTCAACCAGATACAGTGGATTCAGCAAGAAGTTAAAAAGTGTTCTTGTGTTGCTGTACCATTAGTTGAATTGTTTGTAATCAGTGAAGAGGACGATGATGAAGTGTATCTTAAAACAGCACTTGCTATCGAGCATGTTCGGTAACTATATCTACAAAAAAAAAACTGTCTTGCCATCACAAGAATTCCATGCAACTGAAATCGTCTGCTGCTGTGGAAACAGGAGTAAAACTATTTTGACTGAGAGAGAATAAAAAAAATAATGTTACTCTGTCAATCCATAACAATGCAAATCATATCTCCTTTTAACCAGCCGAAGCACGAGTATGCAGAAATTGTGATGGCTAGACCGTATATTAACTTTTTTTGGTACTTTGGAATTGTCTCCTCGACCTGTACTTGTATAAGTGTTTAATAAGTAGTAATTAAAAACTTTGATTGCCAATATAATTATTTTGATTTTTAAAAATTCTTTGAAAGTTAGAATAGTTAGTTCACAATAAATAGAACTTAATAAATGTATGTATCAGTAAATTGTTGAATATTTATCCTCAGCTTAATATCATGAATCTCTTTTTTTTTCTTCTATTTTATGATTTTCTTTTTTTTTCTTCTCCTTTCTCTACATTTTGTTTAAATTTCTGAAGTATCAGTTGAAGGGCAAGTTTATTACATTTAACATAGAACATGGTCTTTAAAGTTATAAAACTTTTTAATGATGTTATTTTCTCATTTTTAAATTATTTTACATTTAAATAAGATAGATGGTGCTTATTTTTTTATTTATGTCTTTTAAAAGCCCTTAAAGGCACTTTTTTTATTTGGGGCTTATAAAAAGTGCTTAATTTTCTATATTTTTAGACGAGATTTATTCTTTGCGGTATTGATTGTCGTTTTAAATTACGAAAAATGCCTGATTTTCACTAGTTTCTCTGCAATATTTATCAGAAACTAGTTATTTTGTCATGATTGTGTAAAGTTTTTGAAATTATTTTTTCAATTTTAATAATTTTAATGTTTATAACTTTAAGCCCTTGAAAAAATCATTTTTATTGCTGCACAGATCCTATTTATGATTTTCTTTTGAAAGTGAGTAAAAATATTTTTTGAGTGCTAAAAAGGTGCTTATTTTTTGTTGAAAAATCTGGCAATGCACCCTGTTTTTTCCCCCTTAAATTTCTGTATTTTTCACAAAATACAGAATATCTTGTTTTTAAAATATACAACTATTGTAGCTTTATCTAAGAACATTTTGTTATGTTGATCATTATAAAATAGACGATTACCAATGATTTGGAAGAAAAAAAATCATCTATAGTTGAAAAATACATTTAAACTAAGGGAAACAGATTATAAAAACGTGACTCATTAAGGAAAAACACATGTCATTTTACTTGTTAACGAGGCACATAACAATTCATATTGAGAGCAAGTTTTATTGTTTTTTCTTAAGTTTTTTTTTTATTGTTACCAGTTTCAATATAAATGTTATGATTTATGTCTGGCAACATGTATTTTCTCTCTGTTCTTTTTTTTCTCTACTTTTGGTTGACAATTACTTAAGTATAAACTATAAAATTAATATCCCACAAGGTAAAAATTAATTTTCTATAACAATGAATAAATAGTCAATATTTAAAGCTAAAAGGCTGGAAAAGCACTTAAATTAATACAGTCAAACCCCACTATAGTGAACACGGCTTATAGTGAACTCCCGGATATAGTGAACGAAATTCTCGGTCCCGTGCCTTGCTATACACGTATAATGTTATTTTTAGTGGATATAGTGAACCAAAAAAGTGAGGAAGTTGGATATAATGAACTTTTTTCTGTCTTCGACTGATTTCCCCCCCCATTTTCTTTGTAATAATTTTGAAATTTCTACTTCAAAATAAATACATATACCAATTCTTAAACCATCTATAGAAACTACTTTTATGTGCTCAAATGGCAGGTTAGACAGGTTTAAAAAGCGGAATAACAGAAATTCAGGAAAAATTATCTGAGAGTCGGGAAGTGTTTCCATATCTGATGTTGTGGATTGCTCATCAGCTAATTTTTTTTTGTACGCAAGACGAAGAGTGATGAAAAATAACACATTTTTTGCTACTACATAATATTTTTCAGTCATTTATATGAATATAATGTAATAAAAGGGAGGAGTTTGGGAACCATTAATGAAATTGCCTGCGTAACGGATATAGTGAACTCTCGGTAACTTTCAAACAACTGGAATTTAGAAACAAAAATTGCATTAAGTTCACAAATAAAAATGCTTCTTTTAGCATGCAAAATTTTAAATCCGTAGTTGCATTACAGAGGCTATAGATTGACAAACAATTTTTCTTACCAAGTTTGACAGTTGATAATAAATTCTCATAACTTAATTATTAATTAATTAATGGTATTTATTAATGTGACAAGACTTACTCTAAGGCAATAAAGTGTAAGATAAAAACAATTCACTTTGAAAAATACCAATTAAACCCTGAAAAACTTAGTAAGCTGAGTCTTTTCTGTAAAAAATCTGGTTTTCTCACATCCCTGTAAAAATTAACCTTTTTATTGGTGTCAGTTTATTGAAACAATCAGTTTGTTGCATACAAAATCTCCATTTTGGAATAATAATAATTTTCCTTAAATGAATTGAATAAGGTTTTATGTTTTTAATTAAAATACATTTTAATTTTGCAGATTCTTTTTATTGTATTTGCAACGACCTTGGGATGGAGAGGAAGATGTCAAATATACGGAAGACATTTTAAAACCTCGACTGCAGCTGTAAGTCTTTTTTAAGGCATGTTTTTATAGTTTATTTTAGTTAATGATCTGCATTGCTTGTGTAAAAACGAATATCTTATCAGTTCAAATGACTTTGCACAATATTCCCGACCTGGTTGTCCTACTAACCAAACTGGGATAGCCTGGTTTGTAGCGCACTGGGCCCATGTCGAAAAGATCTTGGGCTCGATTTCCGCTGGCCAAAGACTCCTGGTGTAGTAAATAGTGACTGATGCACTTTAAATGTGTTGAATCACTAAGCCCTCCATGTTCCCATAACAAATCCATACCTCAGGATGTACTGTTCCAGGAACTCCCTTGTCTTCTGGTTTGAGATCAAAATTACAAGAATACGGAGTTGAACATTGGTGGTCGTAAACCCCCAGAATTGAGTCCGCTGTTCAACGACGGTTATAAGATAAAAAATATTTTGATCTGTTGGCAACATTTAGAGATCACTTGCTAATTGTTCTAATTAATGAAAAATATAGATGTATTGAAATTGTCGATCATGTATAAACAGGGTGGCCACCCCCCTGGAATTATCATTGAATTTTTTTTTCACTGGAAAAGTCAGGGAAATTTTGATTTAAACGTGGAAAAATCAGGGAATTTCAAAGAAAAGCTGGAATTTTTCTCTTAATTTAAATTATTTTACCATACAAAAAGTTAAAATATCATCAACTCAGCAATACTTTTCTTGCATTAAAATACGCTTCATTATTACCCTGCTAAACTAGAATGCCATTTCAAACTCTTTTATGTTGGGAAATGAATGGAGAAATCTTTAACTTCTTTGGAGATTATGGAACTATGCAGTTTAAGAAGGACAAAGATGTGAAAGAAAAGATTAGGATACTTGCTACTGTTTATAAAAGTAGAGTTTTTTTTTATTTATAAATCTTCTTTTAATTTGTGGACTGAATTCATTACTTGTTCAAGTTTGTGCCAATGCTTTGGGGGTATTTTTTTATTTTAACAAAATTATTCAAAATGTTTAGTATTTATAAAATTCTCCAAAAAATAATTGGTTATAATTTAATTAGAGATTTTTATCTTTCACTGTTTATCTGAAAGCTTTTGTCCAAGGAATTATTTTTCTTCATTGTTGCATTGATGCTGATTTTTCTGGATTTCATGATAACTTTTATTTTGATATTTCCGAAATTATTTCTCCTTTTTCCCTAAAAAGCTGGCAAAAACCAGGGAATGTATGGAAAAAATGTTAAATGATATATAAACTTGGAATGGAATTTTTTTTGTTCTGCACTGTACAGGGACAGGTTTCATGTTGGGCAACCAGATGACCAAACTTTTAAACTTAATATTGAGTAAACTAGGTATCATTTCCAAGGTAAAATATTGAAGATTTAGAAATAGTGATTTTTAACTTATAAATATCAGTTTTCAATAAGTCATAGACTGTTAAATGTAAGGCAACATCATTTGAAATTTTCAACCGTGGTAAGGGAATCTCTAACAAAGTACAGTTTTTTTCAAAAAAAGAATTCACACTAATAATAGTAAAAGGAAGGAATAATAAATAAAGTAAACTATAACAAAACAGGTTATCTTGCACAAATATGTAGAAACATTTCTTATTTTGATTTACAAAAAAAATTCTCAAGATACACTTTTGATGTTTTACGTGCGACACCAAAATACATAATTAATTGTACTGTAGCACTAGGATTTAATATAATCAAATTATTTTTTTCTGTTTTAAGCGCGATTTTGATAATAAATATTTTTATTTTAAATTAATAATTATTTTTACATACCACTCAGGCTTTTCTTTATAAAATGAAGTAAAATATGAAGAGAAACAATATAAATATTCCTTAAGGTTAATTTACAATAATGTATTTCACCTGAGTAACCCAAAAAACTTTATTCAACTATGTTGTACTTTAAGCTATAGTATATTATAACTTAAAATTGATCAATGAAGTTTTAATATGCTTTTTTTTTATTTAATTTATTTATTTTAGGTAAGCCTCTCAGTTTTAATTTTTTTTAGAAACAATTTAATTTCATTTTGAATATTTTAAATCAATCATTTTGCTTAGAGCTTGAAAAATGTATGTATTTAGAGAAAAAATAATTTCAGAACATTCTGTAGTTATTTATTTATTTTGAGTAAAGAAAAAAAATATTAAACTTATTTGCATGACAAACTACAACAATAGCTCACATCCTAATCAATTTTTAGGTAAATGCAGAGTTGCCACAGGCTCTTAAAATGCAACTATTTGCTACTATTTTCGGCCTTAGGCGACTATGGCGACTTTTTTTGCCTGAAAAGGTTAAAAAAAAAGCAACTATTTTCAGGAATAAGCGACTATTAGAAGACATTTTTTTTACTCTTGGCGAAGTATTTTCGCAAAAATGAACGTTACTTTTCAGAACATTAATAAAAGAAAGCAAACTTTTATACAATCATTTATTTCCAAAGAGCCATAAATTTAAATTTCCATTGGATTTAATAAAGTACTTGTTATATGCTCTCTCTGAGGGACAGTTTTGTTATTTTTAATTGTTTTTTCCTTCTATTAACATTCATGTTTTATTGTAATTAGACTTTTAGTTAGGTACCTATTTTCTAATATGTATACCTTTTATATTTGTACAAAACTTTTTTTTAATTGGAGCATAGTTAGAACTGAGCGATAAATCGATGTATCGCAAAATATCAATTTAACGCATATATCAGTAGGCCGATGTAGTGACTTTCGTTTTAGGCGATGCATCAGAAATCTGATTTAAGCCGCCGGAATTAGATTACAATCGCGATTTAATATGCAAAGATCCTTGACTAGGCTAACGATGTTACCGCACTAACGAAGACGATTTTGATTTCGTCTAGCTGCAGGGATGTAGATAGCGTTTCGCTGTTAAGATGTTAGTTTTGTGATGTTGAATGACGAAGATCGAATTGAATCAGAACTCCCGGTTTCGTGCGAGGATCAGCATTGTAATATAGAACGCAATGCATAGTTTCTTTATGTCCATTTTTATCTTTGGGATTTTGCGTTTTTTGAAGATTATTCTATTCATTAAGTCATTTTGCGATCGTTGTGCATTTTATTTCGTCGGAAATAATTGTCAGGTTTCTTGTAAATTATTTTCACTGAGACTTTTGCAGCGATCGTTTCGTTCTGCATTATTTCATACCATTTTTTTTTCCCTCTGGGTTTAACGATTCTTGTAAATTATTTTTAGTAGACATACTGTTACTTTGCGATTGCTGCACAACGCTGTTATCTTAAATTTTCGTTCTGAACTCAATAGATCAAATCATTGATTTTTTCAATTGTTTATTATTTTAAGCGATACAATTTCATAGGAGTATTTTGTATTTAACTTTGTTGTAAAAAGTTTGTTTTTTTAAATTTATTAAATGTAGTTAAGGATAATAATTTGATTGTTTTTCAACCAATAAATGCTCAGTCGTTTTTAATTATAAAAAAATTTAAACAAAGCTTACCTTTATTTAATTTGCTTTTATTTTTGAGAAAATGAAAGCAAAGTTATAAAAAAATTTGGCTATTAGTTAAAAAAAAATTTTTTTAATTAAATAAAAAGTTTAGTAATGTTTTGACATTTTTAATAATTAAACATTAGTACTTAGAGTATTTTTTTAAAAATTTTTATTAAAATTCTTTCAATACTTGTTTGTTTTATAATTTGTTCGATAGTCAGTATCATTTTTAAACAAATAAATCTTTAGTTGATTTTATTTTCAAAAATGAAAATAATAATAAATGAGTAAAAATATTTTTACATTTATTAAGTACACAATTTGACCATTAGTTAATACTATTTTTTATTATTTTAAATAAGTAAATAAAAAAGGGGCTAATGATGTTTCAAAAGCATGTTTTTTTTTCAACAAATAAAAGAAAAATTTTTTGTTGTTAAAAAAAGTGAACATTTCTTGGGTTTGTTTTCCACTTTCGTTTTTTTTTTCTTTTAATTTTTACTTCATGTATGTAAAATAATTTGTTACAGTATTATTATTTTTAAACCAATGAATCTTAAATCACTTTCAATTTAAGAAAAATGAAATTTGGGTTTGCTTTTACTTTGACTTCTTTATTAATTTAATTGAAAAAATTAAGCAATGATATTGATGTCATAGTAAAATATGTTTAGAATTAATATTTTCTTTTGTACTAGATTTATTCCTTTTTATTTATTTTTGATTAATTTAAAGATTTTCCATAGGTAATTTTTGAACAAATGCTAAAAATTGCGATACATCACTATATCGGGATGTCTAACTGACGATTAATCACGATTTAAAATTTCTGACATCACCCAGTCCTAATAATAGTATTTGACAATTAAGCTATAATTTTAGTTATTTGGCTACTATTTTTGATAAATTTTTGTTCATGTTCAGGCAACTATTTTCATAGTTTTAGGCTACTATTTTCATGCTTGAGACTACTAAAAGCAACTATTTTTGTTCATTTTTTACTGTGGCAACCCTGTAAATGGGATAAAAATTATTAGTTATTTATTGGGCCTGTAATTGGTCAATGAAACTAGGGGTATTAAAAAGAGATAGAAATTTATTCTAGAATTCATATAAAAAATTTTCCAAAAATTTGGCCCATCTGATTTTGAATTTGGCCATTGGCTACAACTGAGCACATGCTCTTTCTTGTTCACTGCTAGCTATGCCACTAAATTGAAGTATAAGGCATATCAGTAAATAATATCTGCCACAAAAAGATTATTTAATTTTATGCAAGCAATAAATAAAGCTATTATCATTTTTCCTGTGCCTAGAAAAATCAATTTTTCCCAAAACAATTTGTTATAGGCTAATAATACAGCAAAGAATATACTAAATAGTAGTGACAGGCATATCCGTAAATATTGTCTGCTACAAAAAGATTATTTAATTTTATGCAGGCTATTATCAAAGCTATAATAAAGCTATTATCATTTTTCCTGTGCCTAGAAAAATTAATTTTTCCCAAAACAATTTG